ACACACACACACACACACACACACGCACACGCACGCACGCACGCACGCACACACACACAGGTTTTGCATTCGAGCCAAGAAAACTCAAATTACTTTTTTTTGCAGTTCAGTCACACGTACCTTAACTATTTTAATAGCCAATGTACGTGTGTGTAATGTAATCTTTGCCCCGACGGCTGCCAGTTGGGACCTTCGGCTTTGTCAAGCTGTCTATTTGACAGCTTTTTCTGCAGGCCTCCTGCATCATGTATTTTTGGTGCAAAATAAAACATTATTATTATTATTATTATTATTATTATTATTATTATTATTATTATTATTATTATTATTATTATTATTATTATTATTATTATTATTATTATTATTATTATTATTATTATTATTATTATTATTATTATTATTATTATTATTATTATTATTATTATTATTATTATTATTATTATTATTATTATTATTATTATTATTATTATTATTATTATTATTATTATTATTATAAGTTGTACAAATAGGCTATCAAGCCGCTCGTGAAAGTTGGTACCGTCGTTTCAACGTTAGTGCGCTGTACTTCCAACCTTATCTATTTAGCTTTACTTTACCTATTTTGTAGAAAACAACGATGGGTTGCGCGGCCATGTATTTCCAGCTGAAGTTTTTGAGGTGTCTTATATGTGGCAAAGGGTGCAAAAGTATACCTTTTTTTTCTGTGTGTGGGCGGTTTCCACACGCATGATGATACCAACTAACTAGCAATTGACCATCTAACCGTTAAAAAACAAATGTGTCACACATTGTTCAGGCATTCGGGGGCGAGTTTCTACTGATCGAGAAAACCTCGGTTATCAAGTGGACGACACATGTAGCGTAGCCTTCGAAAATCAAAAGAGGTAAAATTATCACAGGGAGCTGACAACCATCGGTGGGTTGAGTGGCAGCCTGAATCACGAGTGTTGGCGATAACCCGTTACGTTTTTCTGTAACGTATTGACGTACTTCCAAACAGTAACGGGTAATTCACGTTACTATTTTAGTAATGTATATGCTTGCGTCACTCGCTAAGTTTTGTTGCCAAGATTTCCAAAAGTTAAAAATAAATTACATTTACATTTTTTTTTCATGTTTCGAGACATTGAGTCATGTGTCTGTATGCACAAATATGCAAACCCTAACACTTATCTTAAGTGCCTTTCAAGCCCTGAACAACGAGAAAAGGGCAATGAGGGTGGCATTTATGTATATATGTAACATAAAAATTGTCGAACACTTTTTTCGGGAATAAGAAAGTAATTACACCCGGTGTACGCTTTGTAAGGAAAACTGGGTATTAAACAAAAAAAAAAAAAATCGCATATAATTTGGGAAAGGGGTACTTAGTAATCTCAAACCAATATCTTCATGGTGCTCGACGTTTGGAAGCCGGCTCGCCTCCTTGTTCGCGGGTGATTGTATGTGGATCCAAAGGTTGCGACCTGTCGTTATCTTCTTTTAGAGCGCAGCTCTTGGGCGCCCGTTTCCGGGTTGAGCGGCGTCGGCGTAACTGCACCAAATTTAGCGGGATAATTGACGTCACGTGACCTCGAGACCACTTCAATTCCCCACTACGCGACTTCAACACCAATTCGATTCCCCACTAAATTTAGAGGAGGTATTTAGTTTCTTCGCTAGATTTGGCGAAGAAATTCAGTTTCTCTGCCAGATTTAGCGGGAAAATTGACGTCAATTTCCCGCTAAATCTAACAGAGAAACTGAATTTGTTCATGGGGGACGTGACACCAAGTCATATGACGTCATTTTTCGCGCTAAATTTAGCGGGGAAACTGAATTGGAGGAGGAGGGTAGGGGAGAGCCTAAAGGAGGAGGAGGAAGAACATACCCTCCCCTGCCTAACCCCCACCTCCACTCAGGAGCTGCGCTCTACTTTCGCCTTACAGATTTGTAAATGGCTTTTATTTCCCTTCTGTCAGTATTGTCAGTATAGTTATGTTCTTCTATCTGTCAGTACTCAACATGTAACTCAACATCTCAACAGAGCTCTCCATAAAAGTTAAATGGTTGTTGTTGTATATTTAGATTTAAAAAAAAAGCATTTGACACAGTTAATCATAATATCTTGCTTTATAAACTCCATCAGTATGGCTTTCGGGGGAAAACGTCGGAGTTGTTTAATAGCTATCTCTTTAACCGTAAACAGTGCGTAATAATAAATAATTGTATCTCTACCCCTCAAAAGGTGTTAACTGGTGTACCACAGGGCTCAGTTCTTGGGCCCATCCTCTTTTTCTCTTTATGTAAATGATTTTCCGACGATTTTAAAATACTCGGAAGCATTAATGTACGCCAACGTTACGGCACTGATTTTTGTTGGGGACACGATAGGAGAATTACAGGATAAAATCAATGAGGAATTGACTAGAGTACTGACATGGTTCACGAGCAATCAACTTACAATCAGCCTAAGAAATCTAAATATATAGTGCTTCATTCCAAGAAAAAGGCGATTAATTACGACGACATAGTTATACAATTAGATAATACGTAATTATAACATGTTACTTGTTATAAATATTTAGGTGTTCTGTTTGATTCTGATATGCACTGGAAAAGCCAAATTAAGCACATGTGTTCCAAAATTGCATATGGTTGTTATACATTATTAAAAGCACGCGAATGTCTTGATTTATTTATTTTGCGCATACTCTATTTTGCATTCGTCCACAGTCAGCTGGTTTATTGTATTGGATCCTGGGGTTATACTTACGCTACATACTTAGATCCGGTAACTCGCTTGCAAAAACCGGCGATAAGATTTATAACATTTTCGAGAAACACTAACCCTAGTAGACCTATTTTCCAATCGCTAAACGTGTTGCCATTCAGTTGTATTTACAAATTAAAAACAGCTCAAGCAGTTCGTAAAATCATAGAGTCTAATTACGAAATGCAGTTACGCTAAGTACTTTCTAGAACGTGACTTCTTTCTTTTCTTTTGCTTCTTTTGCACATTGTACGAGTCGATTGTATTCTGCCGCTTTTTGAATTTATATTACGATTGGACCCCGGACTATCCTTAAGGGCTATGGGTCTAAACAGTTTTTGTGTATTTTGAGAACAAATATGGAAATAAAGCATTGAATGAATGAATGAATGAGTAGAAATCTGAGCCGGCTTCAAAACGTCGGACAAGACAAAGAAACTGGTTAGAGTTTACTAAGTATCCCTTTCATACTGCTTACCTAATCAGGCGGAGTTCCGCCAAAACGTTTGCATATTTTTTTCGTAATAAACACATTAAAACTAATTTTACATTACAATTACATTTACAAACACTAATTTTACATATAAACGCATACATGAGTTATGTTCTCATGTACTTATTGGAGATATTTATATAATTTGCTTTTATTTGACATGTCGGCTGAAAAAAAGGCGTTTTTTCTCTTATAATCCGTCGCAACTCAAGATGGTAGGGCGAGAAAAGGGAACGCCCGGGAGGAGGAAGCAGACGGAACGCTGGAGAGGAGAGGGCATACCTCCTCCTCTCTCCGGCGTTCCCTTTTCGTCTTCCTCGCCGGCCTTCCTTTCCTTCGTCCTAGCTTCTTAAGTTGCAACGGACTATAGATAGTTTGCCTTTTGTGCTAAGACCCACACGTACTCTAGCTTAGTTATGCAGAGCGTTACCGAAGGTACCGGGACGACAACCTAAGAGTGGGAAGGAGGATTAGGGAAGTTAATGCAAGGGCCAGGCGAGCTGATTAAGAACTGATATTGTCGGACTTGAAGACTGGGGAAGCAGACGGACAGGACAACACGAATTTTTTTGGAGAATCAAGTTGTCCTGTCCTTTTGTTTCTTCACTCTCCGTGGTAAAAAAATGGGAAAGGAGGAACGTCTCCCTCACCCTCCTATGTGTGTCCTAGACTTTGCTTTTGTCCTCCTGGCATATTAGCCGGTCCATCAAAATTCGTACAAAAGTGCGTTCCAGGCTCCCTCCCGCCCGTCACTTCGACTCTACTGCGCGCAACTGGTGCGTCTGTTTAGACTATTCGTGCTTTCGTGTCAAACAAATAGTATTCAACTCTTACTAATAAAACAATAGAAAAATTAATCTGTATTTTTGATTTAGGTCTTATTCTTTTCATTATTTTATTCGCTGAAATTGAATCCAAAATACACGTGAACGCTTTTTTTTATTTCATACGCATCGGTACCGTAGTTCTTGCAAGACTCCACAGTCACTTGTCTGTTGTAATGATCTTTCAACGAAAGCGGTGGGTGTTTCTGATATCAATATCTAGTTTAATTCACATTGTGCGCGTGGGGGCAGCTATCTTGTGCGTCAACTGCAGGGAGTTGCGAAAGCAGCACTCTGATAGTGCGAGCATTTGTTTGTATAACAAAACCCCCCGTAATGTAACCTTATCCCGACAATCACACTAGACCAGTCTGCTGATAATAAACTGTCTTAAAAGAAATCCTTGTATATAGTCCACGCTAGAAGATAGTCCGTGCAAGGTAAATATAAAATTTTTAACATCTAATTATAGTCTGCTGTCTACAGTGGTCCCTGCCTGTAAGATTCATAATGTATGAAGAATAATCCTAAAACTATGCATGGTAAACACCGCTAATCGCTCGTGTTGGCCAAAGTGTTGGGTAGTTAAGTTATTCCCGCTTTGTGGCGTTTACTGAACCGTGAAGTCAAGGGCAACACGATATCGACCGGGTCACTGTGTACGCTCTGTCTAATACGTCTACTTTTTGCCGGTTAATGTAACCGGGGCCACCTACTGTGACCGCAACTGAGCGGCGGCATTCAGGCTTTGTAACGAAAAACACACGGGGTTTGCCGGTGGGAATTTCTTGAAGTCGAAAGTGGACTGACCTCTTTCAAGCAAATCACGAAGAGGAGGGGGGGGGGGGGGGGGGGGGAAGGGAGGTACACCGCCTATACCTCACTATAAAAGCAGACTGCGGAGTCGGGATAGACAGTCAGTCCTCCAGCAACCAAGCCACAATGAGTGCTACCAGGAAGCCCACGGTAAGGCAGCGTTCGTTAAGCATATCTAGCCACTCGGTATTTTTATCGTTGTTTCGTAACCTGAAAATCCAAGCTTGTTTGTTTGTTTTGACTATTAAATCTGCCCCTGCAAGACTCGTATCACTGAAGTAAGCACGAGCCTGGCACAACCCGGCGGATAGATTCCTGGACAGGATATTTTGGCTTGGACTTGCAGGAGTAGATTAATATATTAATGTATATAATTCAATTGTAATGAGAAGACAGTTTAAAAAGTTATTCTCATTCTTCCCCGTCTATTCGCCGTCTGGTCAATATGTTTCCAGTTCATACTCAACTTTAATGGGACTTTATTATTCTGAGCATTCTGGCTGGAACGCTTAATATATATTGCTAGGGAAATGTCGGGACAATTTGACCGCTTTCAGTAAGCGGTTTTTCCAATCGCTGGGCAAAATAATTATTTATAAAAGAACAGCCTAAATTAATAATAAAAAAAACCGCATCTCCACGTGGTGAATGATGTTGATTGGGGCGAAGCTCTGGTGGTGCTTGTCTGCGCAGATGCTGAGCCGCAGCATACCGAGCCTTTCGTTCTTTTTCATCCCTGTTAGCTGTGGTCAAATGCTCAAATGCGTGTATCACCACATAACCACGTTCCATACCACACATTCCCTTTTTCACATGGATGAAAACGAACGAAAGGCTCGGCATGCTGCGGCTCAGCGTCTATTAGCGCCGAGATGTTTCGGTGGCGCCCTCTTATGCTTTCCCTCCGTGACGTCACGACTGGGATTTGCCTCGCCGTGACGTCACCAGTTGTTATTCTGGCTACTTACCATCGGGTGCGACGACGAGTTCGATGGTGTGTTTAAAAAGCACAGTGGAAGCTAGGAGCCATTGCAATCCGAAACCAACACCGTCAAAGTTGACAATCTGACAATGCTCATATGCCCATGATTTGGCCAATCCTGGAAAGCTGACCGTAGCGACGCTTTTGGCGGCGCACATCACTAATACGCAGACAAGCACCACCAGAGCTTCGCCCCAATCAACGTCATTCACCACGTGGAGATGCGGTTGTTTTTTTTTTTTGTTCTGCCCTACATGAGCACGGGAGCACGTGCTCACGTGGTCGTGAGCACGAGCACCCGACGCCGGACATCGGACGGACATACGGAGATGGCTAGCCCCTAACACCGTGGCCCCTAAGGAGTACTAGATAACAGAAAGTATAAAACAGAGAGAGGACGAAACACAGACGAGTACATTCTTTCAACTCTCAACAAAGTTTATTCCATGGGGTGCGAACGTATGTTCCCCTGCGCAGACTTAGGGAAAGGGGGAAAAGGGCAGAGGCAGAGGGGGAAGTAAGAGGAAGGAAGGGAGGGTGGGAGAGGCGGCTGGGTGCGTGGACTCGTTGGGGTCGGGCCGCTCACCGAGGTCGTCTAATCACCCCGGACAGCTCTTGGCTCAGATAATCTATCTCTCTATCGGAGAGGGCTAGCGAGGGGGAAGAGACATTGACGACGGAGTTTTTTATCGCAAAAGATTCGATAACTTCCCTGCCGAATCTCTGAGGATGGCGACCTAGCACGCGCGTTTTTTTGAACCTTGACTTACATCCTCCGCATGTGCGACGATGTGCTGCAATCGGGTGCACCGTCTCCTCGCTGGGATCGGCGACCTCTCGGAAGTGCTCCCTCAGGCGGTCATTTAGGCACCGGCCCGTTTGCCCGATATATTCTCCCCCGCAAGAGAAAGGAATGGAATAGATTCTCTCTCTCCGGCAAGGGACGAACTGCTTTTCATGTTTCTTGGGACAGGGATTTGGAGGGGAAGGATTATTGACCTGACGGCACATCTGCTTCAGTTTGAATTTGCACTTGAAGACGACTCCTACGTCGAAACGTGAGGCGAGCGCCTTGAGGCGATGGGAAGTGTTGTGCGTGTACGGAATGACGGCGAATTGTTTTCGGCGGGGTCGGGGTGTAGTGGGAGGTGTGTTGGAGGAGGTAATAAGCCTCTTTAGAGTATTTGTCGGAAGGTCTTCTGGATATCCAGTTTTCCGCAACCTATCTATTTGCAGGATAACGCTGTTTTTGCCTAGATGAGGGCAGGACCTAGATCGCGCAGTCTTCAGGAGGGACTTAACCAGGCCTAGCTTGACTGTTTTTGAGTGAGCGCTGGTGAAGGGGAGAACTGCTTTTTCTGATCTTTGTTTGAATTCCCAGCACAACCCCCCGGGTCGGAGACTAAGTTGTAGTTCTAAAAATTGAAGGGTACCCCCTACCGGGTCCTCTCTTTTGAACGTGAGGCCGGCGGGGTTTGATGTGAAGGCTTTGAGAATGATCAGAGGCTCTGTCTGTTCCTAGTGCAGCACAAGATAATCGTCTACGTACCTGAATACCTGGCACCCGGGTGCCGTCGACTCCAGTTTCGCCTTTATATCCCGATCCACATACATTAGGAAGATTTCATTAAGAATGGGCGCCAGGCAAGACCCGATGCAGACACCTGCCTTCTGGATGTAAATTTTTCCTTCGTACTCAACGAGCGTAGAGCGGAGGTAAGGGTCTAGCAGAGAAAGGAACCCTTTAACGGAGACTCCCGACGCGTTTTGGAACTTGCACATGCCGTGCTCATCTATGGCGTTGCTCACAGACCCGAGCAGGTAATTGACATCTAGATTATAATACATATCCTCGATATCTAACGAAAACAGACCGAGGGGGACAGGCGAATCGTGGAGAGGGGTGAGGTGTGAGATCAGGTCAGAGGAGTTGGTGATGCGGAAAGGTTGAGGGAGATTGAGAGCGGTTAGGTGCTTGAGTAGGAAAGATGCCAGGCGCTTTTGCCAACAGCCGTTTTCTGATATGATGCTGCGGAGCGGAACATCGGGTTTGTGAGTTTTTGCGGAGAAAAAGACAGTCAGGTACTGTTTTGAGGGGGCGGCTATCGCGTTCCTCAAGGCTGGCAGGTCAAGGTTTGTGCACAGGTCTTTAACCTTGGATCTCAAAGATCCCGAAGGTCTTTTTTTGAGCAAGATAAAGTTTTTATCTAGGGCAGCTCCCACCTTAACGCCGAAGAGGTCTTCTTCCATGATGACGAAAACGCCTGTTTTGTCAGATTCCAAAAGTTTCAGTCGGGCGCCGCGCAGCTCCTCCACGACAGAAGGCACCAGAGACCCACCCGAGGAGGGCGGGGGAGGGTGGGCACACGCTGAGCGATCCGCTGAGCCCACGAAGTCTTGACGATCCTGTTCTGGGATGGAGGCTGCAACCTGGTAGACAGAGGCCAGCTGGTCGACTCTTGAACCGGGCAGGTCTGGGGCAAACTTAGGTCCATAGGAGAGTAGCCGCACGGCGTCCGGGGAATGTTCCAAAACGCGTCGGGAGTCTCCGTTAAAGGGTTCCTTTCTCTGCTAGACCTTTACCTCCGCTCTACGCTCGTTGAGTACGAAGGAAAAATTTACATCCAGAAGGCAGGTGTCTGCATCGGGTCTTGCCTGGCGCCCATTCTTAGTGAAATCTTCCTAATGTATGTGGATCGGGATATAAAGGCGAAACTGGAGTCGACGGCACCCGGGTGCCAGGTATTCAGGTACGTAGACGATTATCTTGTACTGCACCAGGAACAGACAGAGCCTGAGATCATTCTCAAAGCCTTCACATCAAACCCCGCCGGCCTCACGTTCAAAAGAGAGGACCCGGTAGGGGGTACCCTTCAATTTCTAGAACTACAACTTAGTCTCCGACCCGGGGGGTTGTGCTGGGAATTCAAACAAAGATCAGAAAAAGCAGTTCTCCCCTTCACCAGCGCCCACTCAAAAACAGTCAAGCTAGGCCTGGTTAAGTCCCTCCTGAAGACTGCGCGATCTAGGTCCTGCCCTCATCTAGGCAAAAACAGCGTTATCCTGCAAATAGATAGGTTGCGGAAAGCTGGATATCCAGAAGACCTTCTGACAAATACTCTAAAGAGGCTTATTACCTCCTCCAACAGACCTCCCTCTACACCCCGACCCCACCGAAAACTATTCGCCGTCATTCCGTACACGCACAACACTTCACATCGCCTCAAGGCGCTCGCCTCACGTTTCGACGTAGGAGTTGTCTTCAAGTGCAAATTCAAACTGAAGCAGATGTGCCGTCAGGTCAATAATCCTTCCCCTCCAAATCCCTGTCCCAAGAAACATGAAAAGCAGTTCGTCCCTTGCCGGAGAGAGAGAATCTATTCCATTCCTTTCTCTTGCGGGGGAGAATATATCGGGCAAACGGGCCGGTGCCTAAATGACCGCCTGAGGGAGCACTTCCGAGAGGTCGCCGATCCCAGCGAGGAAACGGTGCACCCGATTGCAGCACATCGTCGCACATGCGGAGGATGTAAGCCAAGGTTCAAAAAAACGCGCGTGCTAGGTCGCCATCCTCAGAGATTCGGCAGGGAAGTTATCGAATCTTTTGCGATAAAAAAACTCCGTCGTCAATGTCTCTTCCCCCTCGCTAGCCCTCTCCGATAGAGAGATAGATTATCTGAGCCAAGAGCTGTCCGGGGTGATTAGACGACCTCGGTGAGCGGCCCGACCCCAACGAGTCCACGCACCCAGCCGCCTCTCCCACCCTCCCTTCCTTCCTCTTACTTGCCCCTCTGCCTCTGCCCTTTTCCCCCTTTCCCTAAGTCTGCGCAGGGGAACATACGTTCGCACCCCATGGAATAAACTTTGTTGAGAGTTGAAAGAATGTACTCGTCTGTGTTTCGTCCTCTCTCTGTTTTATACTTTCTGTTATCTAGTACATCGCACCAACACGCTCGTTAGGAATATAATACCCCTAAGGAGCTTCGCCCCTAAAAACGATTTCCTAGGTGGAATTGAACTGACATTTCTATCACACTGGTAAATGGTAATGGCGCCGTCGTGCACTGTGCGTATCGGTACTGCATAAAAGTATCGTTATAACTGTGGAAAGCAAAAACATCTATTTAAATACTTATAGAAGCGTTGCCGCTGTAGTCTCTAATAAAATACCCGAATTTCAAGCAGCTGCCTAAATACTTTATCAGATCGAAAATTAAAATTAATTGGGATCCATTTTTGTTTTCAGGTCGCCGTTATCTTCTTTGCCCTACTGGCCACAGCTACGGCCGGCTACCTCGGAGGTTACGGTGGCTACGGCGGATATGGCGGCTATGGAGGCTACGGTGGCTACGGCGGATACGGCGGCTACGGAGGCTACGGTGGTTATGGAGGCTATGGTGGCTATGGCGGCCACGGTGGCTACGGAGGCTATGGCGGCTACGGCGGCTACGGCTACCCGGTCGGGCGGGCCTTCGCCTACCACACGCACATCAACCACGGTTACGGAGGATACGGAGGATACGGCCTGGGCGGCTACGGCTACGGAGGACACGGATACTACGGTTGAGCCCAGGACTGGCCATTAGGTTGAACGGGGATCGGATTGTCTCAGGCTTTCTCTTGGTTCTAAAAAACTTTTTGTACAGAAAATAAAGAGCCTATTTGTACATTTCACCACTGTACACGTCGAGGGTCCTGACTTGATGTTTTACATAGGTATACATCGCCTGATGTTGGTTTAGGCCATTTTGTTCCCACTTTTACATTTATGTTTTGTTCAGAAGCGCGTGAAAGGGCGTGTCCCTGCACGCGTCTGTGGCGCTGACTGTGCTATGGCGACATTTTGTTTTCGTCAATTTCTTTGTATTTTCCCCGTGAGCGCGTGCTGTCGGCATCGGGTACTACAATGGATGCAGCAATCAAGCAATGCCGATCAAAGAGTACACCTGGACCTGATGGGATCACCGCCCCCATGCTTAAGAACGCTCCGGAGTCAGCCAGGCGAGCAATGTTGCAATGGTTCAACCAAATCTGGGACACTGGCGATTTCCCGGAAGAATGGAGGATATCCGTGGTGACGCCGATTCCGAAAGCTGGGAAACCCGCGACAGATCCGGCGAACGTACGGCCGATCTCCCTCACCTCTATCATGGGAAAGCTCATGAAGAGAATGGTCCTGGCCAGAATCCAGCACAACATACGCCACAAAGGAATACTCCCCCCCGCGCAGACTGGGTTTCGGGCTAACCTAAGTACCCACGACAGCCTGCTTATGATCTACAACGATGTTATCGATCGGCCGCGAAGCGATGGAAGTCTGAGAGTAATCGTATCAATTGACATCAAGAAAGCGTTTGACAGCGTCCCCCACGAATCTGTCGTCGGCAAGATGGAAGAGCAGGGGCTCACTGGCAAACAACTGGATTTTGTGAAATCTTTCCTTGCAAACCGCAAGTACAGAATAAAGGCAGGTTACGGAAAGGAAGCGCGAGAAGGCCCGGCTAGCGAAAACAACATCGGCGTGCCGCAAGGAGCAGTTCTCTCGCCAACGCTATTTAACATAGTTATGGCACCACTGCTCTGGCGGCTCTACAAGATCGAGAAGCTGAAAGCGACGGCGTACGCAGACGACGTCACTATATGGACGCATGAAGGTACGCCAGAGCAACAGGAGGCAGCACTGCAAGAAGGACTAAATACCATCGGCGACTTTTTGAAAGAAGTAGGGATGAGACCATCCCCAGAAAAGACTAAATACACCGTGTTCGGGGCCGGTAACGTCCAAAGAAACCTGCAGCTCACCTTCGCCGGGGACCCAATCGTTCGAGAAGAGAGCATCAAGCTTTTAGGGGTCACCTTCGGAAACTCACCCAGCATCACTGACAAGTGGATGGCCGAGATGAGAAAGAAGTGGAAGCAAGGCCTCAACCTGGTCAGAAGAATCACCCATCGACTTGGAGGAGCCGGAGAAACAACGGCAAGGAAGTTAGTAATGGCCACACTGGTCTCGAAAATCACATATGCGGCGCGATTTTATTCATTACGGTCGTGTCACAAGAACCAGTTCCGAGCTATGCTCAATGACGCACGAAGAGCCATCTTGGGGCTACCAAGAAGTACAGCTGCAACGGAAAAAGAGTAGCACAAGTGACCGACGACCGGAGCGGCAAAATCGCGACGCGCGGCGCTATTGTTCCCGAGCGCGCCGATAGCGAGAGTGCCAGTCACGTTCTATGTCTCAACGGGGGGGGGAGGGGGGGGGGGGGGGGGGGGGGGCCGGCAGAAAGCAGCCCATTCTAAAGCCCTCATTTTAACAGCTATCTTATCTCTCAATTTTCTGCCGGCCACCCCCGCGTTGAGAGATGCAACGTGACTGGCACTCTCGCTATCGGCACGCTTGGGAACAAGAGCGCCGCGTGTCGCGATTTTGCCGCTCCGGTCATCGGTCACTTGTGCTACTCTTTTTCCGTTGAGGCTGTACAAAAACGGAGAGGATGAGGCAACTCATCTTTTTGCCAGAAATTGAGGACCTACTGGTGCAGCAGACAGTGACGCACACGGCGCGTGTGCATCACACAGAGGAAGGCCGAGCAGTGGCAAGCTACATAGGCATCAAGCTCCCGGAGACCCTAGACCTCCCCCCAAGCAGGGCACCGTGGGATGTGATTAGCGTCACGCAAGGTGCGAAACCCCTTCCAAGAAATATGGACCCGGAGCGACACAAAGCCCGCAGGAAAAGGTACGCCCAACAGCACAAGAAGGAGGTCAAGGAGCTGTTGGCAAGCCAGCACAACACAGTGGTGTACGTCGATGGAGCAACAAAAGGGAAGGAGTATGCCGCAGGAGCAGTCTTCTACAGAGGCGAGGGGGCAACTCCCTTTGAAATTGCCACTAGCTGCGGACTGGGCACGGAGGTCACATCAGACACGGTAGAAGAAGTGGCTCTTCTGTTCACGTTGGGAGTATACGGGCACCTCCCCGGCAAGACGAGAAACCTCGTTATCTATACGGACTCCCAGGAGGCGGTACAAAGCATGAACAAGCTCAAGGCAACTGCAAGCCCGACGGTACACGCCTTCTTCGACACGGCGCTCAGCCTATACCGGGAGCACGGCACAAGAATCAGTGTACGATGGGTCCCGGGACACCAGGAGATCTCAGGAAACGACATGGCTCACGCAGCGGCACAGTGCGGGATGAGAAAAATTCATCAGTTGCCATCCCAACAGGCGTCCAACTGCGAAGAGTCAGTCGAACAGCCAGAAAATACGGCATGCTACGACCTCGTCGAAGAGCTGCGTAGATGTCGCAAGATGCGAAAGATTCAGCTAGCGGAAAAGTGGCAACCCGAGGACTACCCGCTTCCGGCGAAAACCTTCAAGCGAAAGGAAACGGTTCAACTTCGGCGCATCCGTACCGAAGGCGCGGTCACGCCAAGGCTCAAGTACCACATCAACCTCTCGCAATTGCGACGGACGCAGCCGTACGCGGTCCCTCCGGACCCGCGATGTCAGAGATGCAAGGATCCAGAAGCCATTCCCAGGCTCGACCATCTCCTATGGGAATGCCAAGCTCTAGCCTTGTGCAGAGTGGAAGCCATCGAGACGCTACCTAAGGAAGAAAGACCTAAGAGACTCGTGGATTGGACGGACCCGCAGGGCGAAGCCCAACGCCGGACGAGGATCCTCCAGTCGCTTCTGGACTTCGTAGCCAAGTCAGATCTTGGGGACTCCATATGAAAACACCCCTCATGACACATCGCACAGTCATCCCTCATCACCCATAATCACGCAAGAACGAGGCTGCCAGATCCGAGGATCACCGCGGCGCGGATAATCTTTCTATTCGTAGTTCTTGGTTTCCAATAAACGTTTTCTACCTACCTACCTATCGGGTACTACAAAGGGTGGCATCAGTCTAAACAGAAGGTCATTGAGGCATCCTAGTTTAGACTCTTGACTTCGCCATGTACTGTAAGCGCTCATTTTGCCTACCACCATATCTATACGTCAAGGAACAGGGAACTTTCGAGGTTTCGTGCAAAGCAAATCACATTTTTCAAATGCTTCGATGGCCGAATGACCAATGCCTTTTTTTTTGGCGCGTCTTAATTTTATGGTTAACATACAGGTGCGGTAAATAATATATCGATTTAATCTCAGAGTGTGTGATGTCATTCGAGACGGGACTGATTATGAAAATATTTTTTCGCAAATTTATGGTTTCTGCGGATGAATTCAGCTATGAACATACAGATCGATGCCAACAATCATGATCAATATCTTAACGAATAATAATAGTCCCCCACCTAAAAAATGAACACAGATTATGTTCAAGGTCAATGCTGTGATGTCGGCGAATGTTGAGAGAAGTCTTCGGCATCAAATATACATATACTTAACTAGCTATCAGGAGGGTAGCGGTTTAAATAGACGAATGCACAGAATTTTCGAAACATAGCGACCATACTTCCACACTGTGCATGTGTTTGGAGGCGGGCTGAGGGCCGAGGCTGGTAGAATGAACCAGGCTAAAGGTTGACTGCCAAAGCTCTTCACCCGGAAGAAAGAACCGGGCCCTATCAGGCCTCTGATTGCCATGGGAGCCATGAACTACAAATGACTGGAACGTCGCTGATTCGGGCGTTTATTCCTAGGTAAACTCCCGAAGCAAGTGCAATTATGTCAGCTCCGTTCGGGCAGTACGTCAATTCTTCGGCACCGTCATATTTATTAAGCGCATCGTTATACTTCTCAGGTGCATTTTTGAATGATATGGAATCTGGAAGCTACGAACGCTTTATCACGTCGTCTTCGCGAAGAGTGATAATGTTCTCTCCTTATTTAGTATCGATAATTCTGTAGTGAATAAATATGTTAGACCTTTGAAACTAAAAACTTTCATCGGGTACCAGCGTTTATTGTTAATTTTGATGCTTTTGTGCCGGTCTTGACTTACCTTTATAATTTGTCAATTAAAGGCTGTATATTTTTTTTCTCGGAAAAGTGGAAGTCAGCCATTGTAGAGCATATTTTCAAATCAGGGTACTCGGCAAATGTTAGAAATTATAGACCCGTTTCCTTACTGACCATATTTTCAAAACTGTTTGAGAGCATGGTAGAAGCGCCCCTTTCTACAGGGTGATTCATGGAGAGGCCAGGCTTGTGCAGCGTTGCCCACAGATGATGCATTTTTTGTTGTAAAATTTGCAAAGAGCGAACTTACCTGAGGAAAAAGTAAAGAAAGAAAAAGTCTTAGCTCCTATGGAAACGCAGCGAAGCCACCTGTCTTCAAACAACACGGCACCGTTTCGCATGGGAGACGAGAGATGGCGCAAGCAGTCGCGATGCCAACTGCCGCCAACGAACGAGCATGCGACGCCGAGAGGCGTCTGTAGCAGAAAAGAAACTGCAGTTCCTTGTTTTTACCGCGCCTGTTTTTGTTTCTGCGAATGTCGCTGCCTGCGGAACGCGCGCCGCTTTTGAGTCGAAAAGGTTGTCTGCTAAAGACGCCGGTTCTCGGTGCCGTATGCTCGTTCGTTGGCGGCGTTCGTTGCGCCATCTCGTGTCTCCTGTGCGAAACGGCGCCGTGTTGTTTGAAGACCGGTGGCGTCGCTGCGTTTCCATAGGAG